TTCAGATGTAGGAGTCTGTTGGCACATAATCATTACACATATCATACCATTAACCACTTATTAAATTACACACACAACTTCATTTAATAGAACTTACACTTTTTCTACTTACATTTTGTGCAATCATCTTGTTTAAGCATAAACTACAGTGTATGATGTAACTCAATGGTCAAATAATATTGAAGTTACTGGTTTGTGATGATGTTAATTATTGTAGACATGTGACACCAATATATGCTGAGCTATGGTATATAAATATTTAACTGCGGAGTCAGGGGAATAATTAGTGGTTTTTATTAGTGCTGTTTTTGCAGATATTATCATATAGGTTTTACATTACTGGTGCCTAAACTTAATGTGTAAAATCAGTTAGTGTATATACATGTATATGTCCAGTATAGTGAATGTCCCTTGTCCAGTATTCATGAATTATCCTTTATCAAGCTGTCTTTATGTATTAATTAACAGTTCCTAGGATTACCTGAGGTGTCTTTATCAAGTTAGTCAAGGCTATTGTAGATGACCTAGTCACCTTGTTGGCAGAACTAGATTGTAAAAAAAAATGTTTTCCCACTACTTGCTTAATGTTTTCATGATAATATGTTCTAAAATTCTTATGTAATTACTTAGGGAATTATTTCTTTTTACTAGATACACCATATACACCATCAAACAACCAAGGAAGACTAATCTTAAGCGTATTTAAGCAATGTATCGTGTTCTGAATTGTGTTATAAACCTTCAGTTTCATTGGTAGCTTGTAGGTTTTAGTTGTAAGTGGTTATCATGCATACTTTTTGTTTTGTTGTTTCTCAGTAATGTAGAACAGGATGGTACTTTGTGCCCACTACTCCTTTAGTTAAAATGTTAATTATTTCAAAATAAAGTGTTTTTCAGAATTCTTAGTTTGGACACAGATTTGCTTAAGTAACTCTAAGTTTCCCTATTTTGAAAGCATGCAAAATGTCGACCTTCTAAATGGCAATTAAACTGACTTTCTTTCAGGAAAAATAGCATATAAAGTCTACAATTCACTTCAAAGTGGTGACTGAGACAAGACTATATGAGATCACTATATACAGTATAGGTTGAATTATCAACTACTTGTATTTTAGATCACATGACTAATCATCAGATGCTTGATTTTTGTGACAATGAAGGGGAGAGAAATAATTGGCATTTTATGATAGTTTTGAGTTACATCTATAACATTACATGTTCCAAAAATCTTATAATTATTTTGAGTAGTGTAGTTTTCCAAAACAATTAACATATTTTTTTCTCTTGTACAACATTTTTAACATATTTTTTGTACTTTCAGGCTTGACTATAGTGCAACTAAATTGTTAATTGCATAGTTTGTCTTACTCAATATGGCATTAGAAACTATAAAAATAAACAAAACAATTACCTGTTTAGTAATGTCAGCAAATAAGAGAAGTGGCATTCACTCTAAAGTTTAACTTTCAGTCAACACAGACTGTGAATATTAGGTGCATTTTGTGTACAAACTTGGCTTTGTTTGTGTATTTTGTTTTTGTTTATAAAGACTGTATGAAGTATTAGAGATAGAGAAAATTAAAAATTTAGACACATTCAGAAGATTCAAGGGTTATTTTCAGAGGTGTAACATAGTAAGACCCAGTGTTAACCTTTAACTGTATTGATCTCTTAATTTGATTGAGTTAACTAGAAGGGAATTTTGTGTTTAAACTTCAGAGAAAAAGGTTTGAGCATTGGAATTTTGTAATGTTGTTGTATACGTTTTAACATGTAGTTTAGTTAACATCTGAACTGTAGTGTAAACTAAATTTTCAATTTTATTTAAACTTTTGGAGCTTTATCTTAATCTTCACCAGTTGTCAGTTTTCACTTCAAATTAAAGATTTATTTTAACTTACATGGGATGGGATGTCAAATTGAACTGATAAGAGCTTATAAACTAAGTCTTCATCTCGTTCTAATCAGTTTGACAAACACCATTAAACACATCACCTTGTTTTATTGTTGTATTGTTATTATGCTTTTGTGAATAAACATCTGTTCTTCATACTTCTATCAGTCTTAAGTCCTTCTCCTAAACAATCCTGCTTACAAATCAGAGAAAACATTATACTCTGTAGTGTGATATTCTCCAAACCTCCAATTATCAAGCCTAACTGACTGTTCTGCAGGAAAACTGTTTTAACAGAAATACCACAGTAAGACATGACTCTTGAGCCATAATCACAAACCATTATCCTTTTAGCATGTGCAATAGATTGGGTCAGTCACTATGAACCACCATTACGGGGAGTTTTGTCGAGTGTACGCGAATTTAAATTTATTGTGCTTTGACCCAAAAAACTGGGAGTATTATTTCCAAAGCATAAGTGATTTTCCTTTGACATTCACTTAAGATATCTAACCAAACACTTCTATTGTAAAAATTTAAAGAATAGTGCTAACTAGTTACTTTGCCAGATAAACGAAAAATCAGCATAACCCTGAAACTTATTTCATGTTATTTGCATACAACTTCATAAAAAACAGCAGCATGATAACTAGGTGTATAACTGAAATAATTCTTCTGTATTTTAAATAGTGAAAATAATGTAGTGTAGCACTTGTGTTGATATACATATTCATTACTTTATTTGAGCTATTATAAACTGCCATTTTTTTAAAACCTGATTAAGCATCACTGGCTTAAAAGATCTGAAAAAACATTCTCACTTACAAATGAATAAAGTGCAAGATAAAACTCACCTTTCTACAATACTAAAATCTGAAGAGGGTAAAAAAAAGCATGCTCATTATAGACACCTATTCTTTAACTGTATTACTTAACACTAACATCAGTTTTAAGACTAACAAAGTCAGTCATATATTCTTGAAATACACTAATTACTCACCACAGTAATCTAGTTGAAAATATTTCAGAAAAGATGAGAAAAATTAAGCATACATGCTTGAAGTAGTTTGAAATCAAACTCAAGTTTATTAGTTTTGGGTTTACTATTATTATTAGGAAAATTTACAAAAATCAAAATTATCTAAGATTATCCCTTGAAAATTCTATGTACAAAATTAATCACATATTACTCTTTAACTCTAAAATTATAAATAAATTGTGTTTAAATGCTACTTAACTTTAGTCAAAGGATAAGTAGATACAGCCTAGATATAAACTAATCTCTGACAAGACAGTTAGTGTCAATTTATCTTTCCAAAATAACAACTTTCCCTTTACCTCTTTAGTCAAATTTTAAACCAAAGTATATTTTTTAAATAACAATGTTTTAAAACAATACTATATACAAATAAACGGACCTGTGTTGTGTAGCACAGTGTTCACAATACCATGTAACAGAAGTTTCAAATACATGTATAAGTTGAACTTATTGAAATCCAGTAATGTTTTAGTATATTTTAAACAATATTATTATGCAATTCTGTCTTATGATTTGATAAATTAACCTAGTTTACTGTTCTACTGCAGAACCTTGTGCATCATGAGAACAAGGTGAGAGAAGGCCACTCACCTATAATATTAAAAAACGTAATTGAATGTAGCCTTTCACGCTTTCACATCTTTGTGCCTGTCCAATAAACATCTAAAATATGTTAAGTTAACAGCAAACTACTTATCTTCAGTCAACTCATTCTACAAGTTTATAATTAACAAAAAATAAAACTGTTAAACAAGACTTAGATCTTGGATTCTAAGGGGTCATTCCATGACAAATCGTCCAACAGGTAACAACCTAGTACCTCTCTGTTACATCAACCTTGGTGCAGTGAGATGTGTAATCTGCATAAAATAAACAGTAAATTTCAAGTTGATAAGTTATACAGAGGTCAATATTTGGTTGATGGATAATCTCGGATTTGTCTTTTAATTAACCTTTTACTCAGGAAATAGTTTTACTAATGATATGTGTTAAGTGGCAATTTATTGAAAATACACATAGTATGAGTATTCCAAAAGTACCTTTGGAAAACAAACATGAATATCTACCTTGTATGACCTAAAGTTAAACCCTAAACTAAAAGAAGTTGATAAAATTTCCATGTAAAAGTTATTGTTTCTGATTTTAACCTACAAAGCAATGAGAGGATGATATTGTTTGTTTGCTGTGAAAACAATCAAACTTAATCTACTCTTCCCAAAAATGCAGCAGTATTTAATGGCAGTAAATATATTCATACATAAACTTGATGATAAAGTTTTTGGTTCTACTTAATTCTAACAGTAACAGTTAGAATTTACCTTAAAAGTGTTTTTAAACATTGGTAACACGAAACATAAAATTGGCTGTAATCAAAAGTAATAACAGTTGCATTAGTAATAGTATATGCATAATATTGGTTGTTAAGTTTAACTTAAAGTTTTAGTATAGTCAAAACAATTACCTCTAAAATCGTTCTAATAGTAATATTATAAACTTTCAAAAGACAATAAATACAACTTTTTAAACTTTTTAAATAATAAAAATAAATGCTGATAACAGTACTTCTCTTAAATACACTTACTGTGTAGATGCCAAGTTTCACAATTATTCTGTGATTAAAAAGTCTTACTTTTCGTTTTTCAATTTTCTAGGCTCTACGGTACATCATCACGTGTTGAATAAACTTGAACTCGGGGGTTTATCAAGCAACATTAAAATTTTAATATCTTAAGTTATACAACTTGCGCAAGGAGTATTTTTAATATTATTAAATGAATGTCGACATGGACACAGTAGTTTAAATACTAAATAACACTAACAGATATAATTATAATTGCTACGTAATATCTATGCTTACGTGGTTTTAGACTACTCATCATCCAATCGATGCTTTATCTGTTGTTCGAAAAATCGGTACTGCGGCAGTGGACTTTTACAATATAATAGTGCTAACCAGTACTGCTAGTAGTAATACACTAGACCGTAATGTCGTTTCATTTATAACATATTTTCGAATGAAATAACACGCAGAAAACAAAATAAATCGAAGTTTAAATTTTCACTTACCAAATTTCGTAACCCACGAATGTTTAGCCAAAGCTTTTATGAAGTTTATTCCAAACGTATATAGTTCACCACCTGTTCCACGGAAACACCAGCAGATGAAACTAAGCACCTGCTATGGCCGCATGTCATCAACCTTAAACGTCATTTCCGTTATAAGAACTTAGTTTGGTATTGATTAAGTTATATTATGCTGTGTTTAAAAAGATCTAGAGCAATTCTATCAAAAACAGGAAACAATATCTTAAAATATCAAATGTTAGTAAAGTATTCTGGATAATTAGTACCTAATGTGTAAATATTTTATTAACCCATGATAGTGGCGTCATCTATAGAAAATATTTCACTACAGCCAATATTATTACTCGAAAATATATTCTTATATATTATTAATGAGCATCTAACAAATTTTGAATGTAAATCACGAATAGAAACAAATATATTATTGGTTACGATTTGACTATTAATAACAAAAATCTAGAAAGGGTGAAAAATAGAATATAACACTTTCTTGCCAGTTTTTTATATTCTTAATTGAAGTTTTTCTTTGACTCGCTTTTTTTCGATATTACCCTTGTTTAAAATCCCCCTTGCGAAACGACGCAAAAATCGTAACATTTCTCTTAATCTTACTATATTGCGTATGACTGGGTGATTGTCATTAAAGCGAGTGAATCATTACCAAAAACAAATGTTGTATTAGTAGAAATGCTGATTATGTTCAATGTATATAGAATTATATTTTTGTTTAAACTACGATTGGACATAGAAGTGGTGTATAATATTTTTACGTTAAATATTTGTGAAAATTTGACATCTTTAAGTTAATCCTAATTTCAGAAATTTACTTTTTTGTTTTTTCTTTACTTTCATTAGGACACATTGAATTCTAGCTTATTAGCCATTTTACTTTTATCCGATCTACATTTTTAGAAAGATTTAAATTACTGTTGAATTATAATTCAACTTTAGATTTAGTTTCTTGATGACCAAACTTTCGTCAATTCGTAAGTCTTTTTCGTTATTGGAACTTCATATTGTTGCGTCAGCGAGTCACATGACCACCGTGACGCAACGTTTCTAGAACTATCATG